ATGGATGGATGGATGGATGGATGGATGGATGGATGGATGGATGGATGGATGGATGGATGGATGGATGGATGGATGGATGGATGGATGGATGGACTGGATGATAGGGATGGATGGATGATATTTGATCTAACTGATGGATGGATGGATGGATGGATGGACTGGATGATAAGGATGGATGGATGATATTTGATCTGATTGATGGATGGATGATCAGGATGGATGATCAGGTTGGATGGATGATAGTTGATCAGATGGATGGGTGATCAGGATGGATGGATGATATTTGATCTGATTGATGGATGGATGATCAGGTTGGATAAATGGATGATCTGATGGATGGATGGATGATGGATGATCTGATGGATGGATGGATGATGGATGATCTGATGGATGGATGCTGCTCATTCCTCCATTTTTCGTCTCTCATTTTGAGGCTCGGATGAGGGTAGCAGACCTTCAGGCGGTTTTCATGTTTCCTCTCTGAATTACAGGTAAGCAGCTTATTAAGGTGTATGACGGTGATGATTCAGTCAAGCGTGGCTTCTTTCGGTTGATCCACACCAGCAGAGGCATGAAGAATGAGGAAGTGGTGAGAAGCATGACACGCTGCTGCTATTTTTAGCACCACTACTTCTCTGAAACCTGAGTACTCTCACTCCTAGAATCAGTATCAGAATCAGAAATACTTTAATAATCCCAGAGGGAAATTACTTAACATGTTTGTCAGAGCTTCTCACAGGGTTTCCCTTTAAAGCCATCAGCAGTGACCTTAGACTGAACCATGAGAAACATTTCTGCTTCCATTGTCAGGACAGACCTGCACTGATTTGCTCCACTGCTGGTTCTGTCCTTCAGGAGGCGGCGCTCAGGGCCTTTTATCTTCCTGAGGATCCTCATCACTTTCAGCTGGAGGAATTCAGCAGCTTGCAGCATCACCATAGCGACGACCTCCTGAACCAGAATGCCAGCAGTCTGGAAAACAGAAATTCCGCAAAGAATGGAGGTGACGCCAGGCTGCTGAGGGCAAAACCGAGAAGGGATGACATGATCAAGGTGCATGCTGCATGGAGCAGGTGAGGTCCTGTTAAAGCCTGAGCTCCGACACAGCAGGATAGGTTGTTAAGGATGTCTGTTCTGCACCAGGCCCAGTTCATCTACTGTTACTGTGTTGGAAACCAGCACTGCAGCCTCCATCGTCAGCGAGGTTCTCCCTCACCTGGGCAGGCAGGTAGGTGCCCCCTCCTATAAGCCTGGAAAATCCTTTTGGACATAAAAACAAAAACTAACTCTGAGGGTTACCAGAAGATGTTTTGGAGTCGGTGGTAACATTTCAGGGTTTTGGCTGAGGTGTTGCTGATGATCTGTTTCAGGATGAAGATTCATCAAAATTCAGTCTACAGGAAGTCTACATGAGCAGTAAGCAAGGTAAAGCTAGCAGCATGGAGCGGCTTCAGCAGCTGGAACCTTGTCAGCATATAGAGGAAATGGTCTGTGTTTCTGTTCCGCAGTGCAGAGACAAACGCTGAGTCCTCAGGAGAAGATAGTGGACAAACTTCAGGAGATCAGGAAGGTAACGTCTCTGCAGCTGTTTATCCATCAGAGATGATGCTTCAAACATCACATGTTCTGTGGAAGCACAGCCATAATGTGTCTGTTGTTCCAGCTTTCTCTGCGTCAGATGAACCAAACTCGGTTCTACGTGGTAGAGAACAAGAACCGGGCCGTGCAGGTGGACCTGCTGATCCTGGGACTGCCCCCCCTGCTGGCCAAAGAGGAGCAAACCCGCCTACTGCAGGAGCAACTGGAAATCAAGAGTGAGTCTGTGCAGCTCCTCCTGCTGGGAGAATAAAGTCAGAGACTTTCAACATCACTCCCCCTGCTTAGATGGCTCAATTAAATCATTTTAAATAACCTGAAGCTCTGGAGGACACCTAGTTCTTGGCAGAAATCTGTTGCTGCAGATTTGATCGGCCCTCTAGTTTACCTGAAGGTGAACAAACCCAAAGTCTGAAAACTATTCTGACTGTTGGCCTTAGTTAAACCCACTGAGACAGTCCTGCTTCTCCGTGTTTTAGTGGTTTTACGTATTTCTAGAGAGGAATGAACCATCCAGTTTGTGTCCTGCAGAAACCAGATATTTGTTTTTGCCTGATCTGGAGAAGAAACACAGAAGTTCAAACTATCTGTACCTGTGGTTCTTATTTTAGATGAAGGAACGCTGCTCTGACTCCTCTTCCTCCTTCCTCTTTGTCCGTCTCTGCAGGTCACCTAGTCACATACACCCACTTCTATGACTCTCAAGGTGAGGCTGTCTCCATGAAATCCTCCCTGCTGGGTGCCTCACTGCGTTCCCACCAGAGACTTGTCTCCTTTGTGTTCTAATGAGACAGAAAAACACTGTAGCTTCAGGCCACATCTGTACGGATGTCACCTGATGCTGTAACATCTGTGTGCCTGTATCCAGGTGCCGTGGCGATGCAGATTTCCTGCTTCTCAGAGGCAGAGAGGATCTACATGCTTGCTAAAGACACCTCCATCAACAACAAGATGCTGACCTCCCTGGTCATTCCAGAGATCCAGGTAATGGGATCATTAACTGGTTTAATGAGCAGGTTTAAATCTGACTTTTTTTTTACTTTTGACTACTATTTTTTTTTTTTTTTGGGTCGTTCATCATTACATTTATAAATGTTTTTCTCTAAAAGAGTTAAAGGGGTCATAGAATGATTCTATAGGGTATTTGGTGCTAGCCCTTAAGGTCTCTGAATAGGGGGTGTAACATTGGTTTGGCTGAAAATGGCATATTAGCTGTCCTGTGCACCCTGATGCAAGCCTGGTTAAAAGTCCTAGAATGAAACATGTTTTCTTCCTTTTATGGTATGATCATAAATATTTAGATGAGCTGTGCGCTGATTGGTTGGTTTACAATGAGCGAAGCTGCTGAGCAAAGATGCATCATAGCAACAAGCACTCACTAGCTGAAACATTGAAATTGTTGATACAGACACATTAGGTGTTGAACCATATCTGTAAGAGCCAGAATCAGAGGAAGAATGGGATGTAGTTTGTCAAAGTTACTCCTTGTTTCCGCTTCTAAAAGTGGTAACATAATCGACTTAGGTAGGAAACATTACAGCTTAGCTTCTAGCAACCAAACTATCGTAATTCTACTTATATTTAGCCATCTTGCTGGAATAACTAACAAAATAACCCGAAATAGATCTGGACAAACGTGCAACGTAAAGTATAAATTTACATATCAACATGTTATTTATTCGAACGAAATACAGTCAGGGAAATGAACTAATGTTACACCCATTGCTAACAAACTGAATTGTAACACATTTTGCATGCTGCTAGATACGATATGCTATATCAGCTTAGCGACAAAATTTAACTAACAGCTTGCGGTTATGATGGCCTTACGGTCAGAACAGCCCCTTGTTTCAGTAAAAGAAGTTTAGCAAATCCTGCTTTGAACTGTCCAAGATTTTGAAAGCTGTCTTTGGTAAAATGCTTAGAGCAAATGAACAGCCGAGCATCAAACTTTGCAGGGATCTTCTAATACACAAAAATAATCCATGCCTGTCTTTGGATCCTTAAGAAGACTGTGAAAATGTTCCCCTTCCTCCGTGCAGCCTGGAACACTGCATTTACGCCCCTGGTGCTGGCTCATTTTCAATAGAGAAACTGCCTGCTTTGTAATTCTTGTAGAAGTAAATCTAACTGTAGGCTAAACAGCTAAACTACTGTCTTACATCACTGCAACCTCTATTCTTGCTCTTGGGCCAGTGAACCAGTGGGCTGGTCTGTATGTCAATTCGGGGTGTGACAACAGTACAGGCCAGAACCAAATAAGAGTTAACGTCAACTCGGGGCTTTGTTTGGATTCGCCTGTTTTATGGTGGAAATTTAGAATTGTGAAATTTGCATAGAAAGAAGGTGTCGATGGGGTTTGAACTTTTCTCAAATATATTTTAACCTTTTTTTCTTAATCTTACTCTGAGTAAGAGTGGCTGTGTTTCTAATAACCATTATATTACGCATATTGTAATTACAAAAATAAATTTGATAATTAGAAACACTGCAGTTTTGAAAAAAATCCAGATTTTCCAAAAACATTAGAGTCGTGGCTGAAAGAAGGATATATCTCATGTGTTTACATTGTTTTAAATAGTTATCACATGAACAAATGTATTTGCACGCTATTTAGATGCATTTGTTATTTAATGGAAGTACCACAAAAGCATTTTCAAAATCAGCAGACTATCCACCTAGTTTTTGCTCATTTTCCAATGGAAATGCAGCTACTCTGGTTCTGGTTCTCCTCAGTCTCATAGGACTCTTATGGTCCATGTGTCGGCTCTTGATGTCCTCTCAATGTGAAGGTTCTTGAATTTATTTATTTTTTCATCAATCATCTCAAGGCTGTCCTTATGTCTGTGAACATTTTGCTACTACCGTTCATTCTTCCATTTGTTACGATTATGCTTTGATACAAAAGCTTTGAACAACCAGCTTCTTTAGTAACTACCTTTAGTGCAACCATTCAGTTATAATTATCACTAAAATTATTTCGCTAATTGATCAAAAAATTTTTCGGCAAATAATTGGATGTTAAAAGA